TTATAACTTCAGTATTAGATTTGGCACGAAACTTTTTAGAAAGTCCTTGGGAAAACTCTGCAGCCCAGAATCTCACTGGCCTCAAAGAAACGAATCAAATACCTCCAATACACACTCTACCAAACTGGGTCATCTTTCACCTATGTATCCGCTCGTGCAAGTACCACATTGCATAATGTCTTTTTATATATTATCATTAGGGGTGCGCGATAGACTTACCTCCACGTGGTACACCCTGGGCAACGTATACTCATACGGCAAAAAAGTCTATTAACTGGCAGTTAACTTCTGACTTCAAACTACCATCACCCCACCATATGTCATTTTCGACCACTTACACTGTACTCATCTTACCTCTTCTCTAACCTTGTGTCTGTCTCTTTTGCATCTTTGAAGCACTCTTCCGCTCCCCCCCCCTTCTCGACTTTTTTCACTTTGATGTTCCTTCTCCTCTGTGAAACCTGAAGTCATCTAAGGGCTAATAATAACTACCAAAACGCCTGCCATTTGATATAAATAAATAAATATATTAGCATAATACTTTATGGGTTTATTAATCCACCTCCCCCCTCCACACCCCTACCACATCACTTCCTGATTGTGTCCAGAGTAGCAGGAGGAAGTATAAAGAGAGGGTTAACTGTTCAATATCTTTGAAATATCCTTGCGTGTAAACGAAGATAAATACCTAAGTTGATTTTTTTAAATACGCAATTACCCATTGCTTGTCTGGAATATAATCACAAGTCTTGTTTTAGCATACCACTGGTTGTGCCTAATTAAAAATATTAAAACAAAACTGATTTATATTGGAGTATTATTTTTTGTAAAAATAGCAAATAAGTAGGTGGTATGCTACTTTAGAATACAGTAAAATTTTGTTTAGTCTACCTCTCTGATTAAATAAATGCATAAAAGCCTCTTTTTTTATTTTCTTCAATTTCTCCCAAGACACTTTAGTCTGAAAATAGCAGAAAAAGAGTGCTTCCTTGCGCGCGTAAACACCCCTCCAAAATTCACTTTAAAGAATGATTCAAAAGACGCGCGCGCAGTAAAAACCAGTGAAAATTTTAATGTACAACCTTCTTGATTGACTCTGTTTGTTTGCTCGTGTTTGTACAATTAAAAGACATTTGTGCGGCAATTAAAGTGAAGGATTCAAAAGGACATATTGTTTAAGTGGACTTAGAGATGGTAATAAAAAGCAAACTGGCCAAACGAGCGGAAGAATTCGGTTCGCCCATTTGATCTAATTGAAATATCCCTCTTCCCGCTCCCTCCTCCTCCTCCTAAAAGGCGGATTTTGATGGCATTTATGGAAGCCTATCCTGTCCAAATTGCACCCCGCACTACTTATATAGGCACTTTGCCACTTAAGTAGACAGTGGGGGGTGAGAAATCAAAGAGAATTTAACTTGCATTTACTGGGGAAGTGGATGAATGAAAATTTTGGGGATAGATCATGTCCGCCAACTCCCCCCCCTCCCTCCACTCCCTCTCCCACGAAATAAAATACCTGAAGATATTGTCATTTGACACAGGCCTGGGCATTTTAGGGCTCTCCTTACCATATCCATAAATATTTTAAAAAGTTATCCTGTATCTAGTTTAATGTCTGATAAGTAGATCAATTAGACATCAAGTATTCTGAGTCCAACATTGTGGCAAATTGTAACTTGGAGAGTTTGAAGCTTCTATGATTTAGTTAATTGGGAAAAAAGCCTTTGTTATAAGGTGTAGCTTATTCCAATGAGGATGACAATATAAGGTGTCAAATTTCAATCGCTTAAGTAAGATCAAATTAATTTCAATGAGAAAATAAATCAGCAAGTAGTTTAACATTTGCATCTCAACCAATAAAAGAATAGCTGATTAGGAGCAGAGTTGAACGTTTGAGCCAATAGAAATCTATGAAGAAGAACTGGTTCTCAGATTAAGGATCAATCGATTACTGCTTTCAGATCCATGGGAGGAGGGAAGGGGGTAAACTTCCCTAAACTTCCCCCCCCCCATACCCACTTTCGGGTAAGGACGTACATTATTTTAACCTTTAATTCAGCGACCATAAAACGCTCTCCCGAACATTTGATAAATGAACCCATCACAAGTCAGCAGGCAACCCCTAACCTCACCCCCCCCCCCGAACCTCCACCTACCGAAGGAAATAAGTATCATCCAAAGGTGTATTGTTAAGGTATAACTTTATTGATTTAATTGTTATACATCACCATTGCAGTAAGTATATATGTATAGATTTATGTATAGATTAGCAGATAAAACTTTTCTTCTGCGGTCAGTAGTTGATTTGTTGGTTGGGTCGGTAGATACGTGTTTGAGTCGTTTTGTGTGATGTTGTGCATTTGTATATAAATTTGAGGAACGTGTAGTATTGGTGTGTTTGTTTTTTCCCCTAGATGGTAGGAGTTGTAGTGGTCTCATTAAAAAGCGGAGGTTGGATCACATGGTGCGAAGCTTGATAAGAGCAGTATTGTTCAGCTGCTGAAGCATTGCTCCCCGTGGTTTGGTGCGAATTCAGCTTTCCCTGGGCAAAGTTGATTGGCCACTTCTGCTGCCTTGCCGACCACCATGCATTACTGGCGTCTTCCACTGAACAGTCATTGGGAATCTGTACTGTTGACGTCTCCATTGTTAAATTATAAGCTTCAGGGAAATTTTGAAAGAAGTTTGAAGGGAAGGAATCACGATTTGGAGCCCTTTGATGTCCAGTTGAGCAACAGTGAGCTTCTAATTGGCTCCATTTGCTGAAAGATGCTTTGCAAACCTGACACGAAGTTGGCCAATTTCTTGACAAGTTTTGTTCTCCTTCAGATGACTTGACTTCATGCTGACTGCATTCGATTTCCAACTGTAATTAAACAGAAGAACTATTACTACTCTTTTTAATATATCTAACTATTTGTTTTACAAAATGTCAGTTTCCTTTCTGCTAATGACAAGGGAAAACAAATAAAGGCAAATTCCCTAACTGAAATAGCGAACATTGCCCAGCCACTGGGGGTGTGGAGAGATAGAATTTTTGGGTAAAATCTGAAGGAAATAAATTATAACAATTTCTTTTTCATTTGGTCCTCCTTCCACATGATTGACAAATGTAATATTTCTTTCCATGACACACCACTCTACATAGAGGCCAAAATTTGACCAAAGAATTCCCTCCCTCCCTTCCCCTTCACTCATAATGGATTATGGTACATTGAGTACACTTAGAAACTAGATTTGTGACGATTTATGGGACAGCTTATTCCATAAGGAGGTTTAACTGAATAGATATGAATCCACCTTCACAAACGGTTAGTGATAAGAGCTAGTATTCAGGGCATACATCCATTCATTTGGGCCGTCAACCTGTCAAAGTGAACCATCTCTCTCCCTCACTCTACCAATGACCACAATATTCGCATATCTCATCTGCCTTCAAACAAAACCTTGCACGGTGAATTAAATTTGCATTGAGTTCACATGTTTCGCAAACACCTACACAAAGCACAACCAGCAGCAGGACTTGAATTTGCATTTAAAGCCGAAGTTGTATGCTGATTAAAAATACCGTCGAACTACCGTAAAAAACCACCATTTTGAATTGAACTCTAAAATTTCTCACCACTTCTAACTTATTTGCATACAAAAACAACGCCCATGTCATTTTGAGTTAAATTAATTTCACAAGCCCGAGCTCAGTTAAACAAGGTTTTAATAAATATATCGATTTATGATAGGGATCACTGAGCGACTCCTACCTGTTGATTTGCGATAGACGGAGACCTCTTTTGAATGGGATTGAGTTGTCGGCATGCTTTTGCCAAAACTAGAACAGCCCGTTTATACAATCGGAGGTTATGTCTGCGTAGCTTCGTACGTTTTTTCAATGGTGGAAAGGGAGGAGGAAGATTGGAAAGAAATTGATCCACGCCATGTTTGATCTCAGACCCTGATGTGGGCAAAGTAGATGGCTTGAGAGAGAGATTCAATACTTCAGCGGAATTCTAAAAAAGGCAAAAATGGTAGATTTAATTATCGTCAATTTACTACTTAATTATATCATTATAGATTTAAACTAACATATTGAATGCTAGCTGGATTGATAGAATCACTATTTGAGGTTGGAATATTTGGACTCCTAGCGTCTGGGGAATGTGGATTTGGATTTGTGAATGACCAGGGATTCATAATCGACTGCTGAGGTCCCGAGGACTCAGTGTGTTCATCCGAAGACTGTGTCTTTCCGGGTTTACTGAAATCTAGAGGCAAAGTAGAAGATGTCTTGCTCATTCCTAATATTCCTTGGGAAGTAGGAGTCAAGATGGGGTTAGACTGGTCCGTGATTCCATGTTTGTTGGCCTTGTGAGTCCTTAGGAAGTATTTATTACAGATCCATTTGTTGCAAATATCACATAGAACCCTCATTTGATTGGGCGATTTTCGTGGGGTTGTACCTGACGCTGACCCATTTGGCAGAACCCGCTTTGCATTCAAACCAGACGCTGCAAGTTGCACCGGGTTCCACTTAGTTGTAGTGATTGTGGTGGGATTCATCATTAGTCCTGGCTGCTGTGCAGGTGTTTGTGGCATTGTAGGGGGTCCAGAATAGATCCCTGGGGGATTTGACAGCAGACCCAAAGGGGGAGGGAGAAGTAGAGGCGCAGTAGTCGGTGCTGTTGCCATGAGAGGAAGATCGAAAGCAGTTGTGCCACTACTTACACCCATGTCGCTCACTATGAAAAGGGAGAGGCAACAACATCAATCTATATTCATCCGCTAGTAACCAGACACCCAATTAATGGAAGTTTATCTCCTACTACCTCCACCCTTTCTCCTACCATGATTAAATGCGGAATTGGACATTCAGTAACCACCCCAGTAAAAGGAAGGAAATTGGGCATATGTTAGGGGTGTCCTCCCCCCCGCCCTCCCCCTCCTCTATCCTATTTTTCGAAAACAGCACCCTATAATTTTAGTACTAGGATTGGAACAGCCGCATTTCATGTGGTTTTGTTGGTTAAAAATTCTCTTTTATGCGAAAACTATACATTGTTCCACTTAACCAGGCAGACAACCGTTCGTCCATCCATTCGTTCGTGCGTACGTGCCTACCTGCCTGCCTAAGTGTGGAGATATAACCCGAACGCGCGTGTGCCCAAACACGTTGCGCGCTCTCTTTAAACATTATCTCATCCCTGGCTGCATTCATAAATATACGCTCGCCCGCAACAAATTTACTGACAAAACATTACCCCCACCACCACTATTTTCGTTATGTTTATTTGTAACATACTTTGGCAGAAACCTTTCCTTGCGTGTTAGTTATGCTGTCTCCTATCTGCAATTAAACCCTCCCCCTCCCGGTTTTCTATTAACCCTAGGCATTTTAATTTAGTTATTACCTAGAAACTTACTAGAAATCGATGGCGGAAGCATTCCGTTCATTGAATTAGGTATACTCAATTGTTGAAGTCCTTGACTTTGATCTCTATTCATTGGCTCCATTGCAGAAGTGGTGGGTAACCTCATGATAGACATGCTAGGTGGTTGGAAATTGGTCGACAGTGGACTCCCACGTTCAGAAGTGCTAGTAGGTGTCAACTTATTTGTAGAAGAATCGCTCTCCCCATTATTTCCATCTAAATTTCGTGCGCTAAGGATAAAGATGAAGAAAGAGGGATCTGTTGGACTGAGACCATGAACAGAAGTTAAATGAGTGGGTAGAAAGAGGCGCGGCCCAATTGTCTTCTCACAGAGGGGACAATTCACGAGGGCATTAGCTGCCATTAATTGCATAACTGGATCCTTCTTCTGATCTTCTAGAGATGATTTTGGCATCTCTGGCATCATCGCCTGAGGTTGAGGAGAAAGCCAAGGTGGGATCGTACCCAAAGGTGCTGGAAATTGAGATGGTAGCATGGGATTCACTAGAGACAGAGGTGGAGGAATAGGCGGCGGTAGGTTAAATGGTTCAACATTCTGATTTAGACACTCTGCTTGTATCTTTTCATTATGTTTTGTTGCAGAAGACCTTGATGCGGGGCCTCCAACTTCCTGTGGTGATAGACCATGAACCTTAATCTTATGGGTTCGAAGGAAGTACTTGTTACAGAGCTCCTTTTTACACAATTCACAAGTCACTCTATCAGCTAGTTTTGCAGCCGCCATGCTAGACTTGAACATATCTATAGCTCCAGGATTGAGTGCTTTACTGGTTGTTACTGCACTAGGATTCGAGATTGGAGCAGGTTCTGTCGATACAACAGGAGGGATAAAAGTTGCATTTTCTCCTAGTTCCACTCGAGATGTCTTTTGTTCTGATTTTGGCAGCCATACTGGGAAAGATTCCTTTTCCAATGCCGATGGTACCTCCCCAGCGTTTGAAATGCTACGGAAGGCTTCGAGAGGAGTTCTTCTGTTATCTCCTAGTTGTTGGGCGGTTACCGCTGATGAAGTTAGAACATTTAACCATTCACTTTGGCTGGTGCAGGGTGACTTTTCTCCCTGGTCATTATCATCAGATTCTCCTGAACCCAATTCACGTTTTCGCATTTGAGAAAAAGGTTCACTGGGGATTCTGTGGACATCATTCTTGTGTTTTCGCAGATAGTACTTGTTGCAAAAGTGTTTCTGACACAGTTCGCAGAAATCCTCATCCTTGTTTCCATTCATGAATGACGACAGACATTTACCTCCCATGGATTGCAAACCCGGTGGAAGCATTATGAAAGGATTCGGAAATGGGAAGTCATTTGGTGGCGAAGTCGTTGCCTCAGAAGATGGAGTAACCACTCCAGAAAAGAACTGAGAAGTTAAATTCATCTCCTCCCAACTTGAACCTAATTCGGATTTAGGATTGTGTATGGGGATCCGGGATTCTGTCAACCAGGCTGGAGGATTGTTACTAGAACCTCCTAACATTGACATAGCCGCTGCTAAAAGACGATTTTTCAGCTCTTCAGCCTCCACTGTATCACTTGATTCCATTGGCATCATGGAATTTTGATTCTGTTGATTTTGTTGCTGTTCGCCGAAGGATTTCATGAGTGCAAAAACTGCTGAAGCATCAGGAGGTAAGGTGTTATTTGACTCTGTCATTGTTATTTTCAGTCTAAAATACAAATTGAAAACACCGTGCTCGTGATCTCCTAATTTTCCAATAAAATATCGATTAATTCGAATTTAAACAGCTCGCGCGAATTCGTCCCGCCTTTTAAAAATTAGACATTCAGTGTTTACCAACCCTTTCTCATTATTTACTAAACGAACTAACCCAACAGTGATATTTATTTTGTCGGTCTTATCTGGGGAGAGTTTAAATCTCCTATCCTCAATCCTATTTGACTGTCACCTGTAGAAATTTCCCAAGCGCCATTTCCTCGCCCTAAATCGCAAAAAATCACCCCAGAGTGTTCTGTATCCTGCCAACATTATTTTATGGAAAGGTAAATATTAGACTTTGCTTTGTTTTGGGGGAATTTAGAGGAGAGAATTCTTGGTTAGTAAGGCAGACTACACAAGGGTGGAATTGGGCATTGCCATTCCATCCAGGTAAGACATTAAGAGTATGCGATATCTTTAAAGATAACGGCACATTTAATATCCTTTATTGCGTCCATTATGCGTAAATTCTATGGGAAATCACTTAAGTTCATTTGATGCTTAATAACTGATAGATAGACAACCAACTAACTAAAACTCCCTTTGAGGAAAAACTAGAAGTACCATTAATTATACACGGATAATATCATAGTTTCTGCAGAACTGCTGCAGTTGCAGAAGCAGAAAGTGAGCGGTGGGGGGAGAGGGGGAGAGAATTCCCATAAAGTAGGCATCAGTAGAAGAAAAATGGTCCATGTTATATATTGACCTCAGAAATCTTGTCATTGAACAAGTGCAGATACATAAAAATAGGCAAGTTAGCAACGAATTAGTGGCAGCTAAAAGTGGCCACTCTCTTCAGATTGACCGCATCGTAATTAAATTTGGGATTGTAAATTGACCAGAAATTTATGTGTGTGTCAAAAGATACTTATCTCGTCGCCCCCTTTAGCTTCCATCCGCAACAGGCAATTCGAAAAGTTATTGCAAATTTATGTGAGAGAGAGAGTCTAATAAAAAATCATCCATGAATGAGGTCACAAGTTTTCGCGCACCCCTAAGGCCACGTTAGCATCGATCACTTAGAAACACCATATCCCAAATGATTTTTTTTCTTCTTTCCAAACAAAATTGAGCATTTGAATGGCAAAGAAGGAAATATTCGAGCGATGAATGTATTAATATAAAAATTTTTTTCGCGTTTAATGTTGATGCTATTGGGTTTGCCAGTTGTCGAAAAACTGCCATCATTCATTTTGACAAGAATGCTATAAATCCCGGACACACCCCCTCCCGAATTTGGAAAGGTTAAGATAGGATATAAGCCTTCATGCCCTCCTAATAACAATCAGACCACAAAATTTAATTTCAATTTCAAAATACTGGTACCCACTCAAATTCAACCACCTTCGGGTGCAAAAGTTGTTGTAAAAGAGGCGTATCTCAAATGTAGGAGGGGGGAAAAATAGGTGTTAGTGAGGAGACAGCAAACTTTCACTTCAAAATTTTCAAGTGCGTGTGTGTGTGTGTGAGTGTGTGTGTGGGTCTTTGAAGAATTCTCTTGCTTTACCGTCGTTAAACCGAATGCATGTTCTTTAAATTCCTTTTCCTTTCTCCCCACCTATTACACCCCCCAGAAGTCCTCTCCTTTTAATTAAACTACAGATTCCAAGCACAAGTTGAAGGAGGTAGGGTTGTGCCTTGCGCATAATTTATCAAACCATCCTCAAAATTAGAAGTTTGTGCGGTCCTTTACTGCGAACGATTAAGGTTGGTTGGTTGGGGGGTGGGAGGGAGGGAGGGAGGGGGTGGGGGTAGGAGAGAGAGAGAGAGAGGTATATTGATAGTACCGGGCAATTAAAATTTTCTTTAAAGTATCAACTCAAAGTCAAGTGAAAGGGAGCAGAGCTTTGAAGTTGCAAAATCATGTCACACTATGAGCGTGGTAAGCATTCTACCTTTGAAGATGAATTATCCTCAAAGTTAGCCCACTCAACAAACCTATGTGTGGGTTAAGGTGAAATTTGTTTGAAGAAACGGAAAGTCAGAAAAAGAGCGGAAAATGTAAACTTTGCATTTTGGTGATGGCATTTTCGGTATTCCAAGTAGAATAGAATGTATGTGAATGTGTGTGTGTGTGTGTGTATATATAGATGGGTAGGAGGCCGCATATATTTATGAAATAGCACCAAAAAGGCTAGGAAGGGGTGCCCCACTGAATCATTCAACTGTGGAGAGAGAGAGGTAAACAATGGGACACATGGAGCAAAACCATTTATGAAGTTCGGCGCCCTACTTTGATGCACCTTAAATCACCTCCTCTCCCAAAAAGACCTTTAAGGAAACTTCACCATAGCCGCACAATCTCATTCAATCAAATCCACATATTTTAGAACTCCCCCCCCCCCTCTCCTCCAAAAATATCCCATCACTCTTAACTAAACTTTGAAGAGCGGGGAGATGGCTGAATTCACCATTGCAACTGCCCTGCTGCTTCGGCTGCATGAATGATTCCAATCCGCTAAAATAGAATGGTTGTCAAAATATCATCTCTCTGTTTGCTTCATTTGCCCCTTTGATGAAATTAAATCTTGCTCAGTGGTGAATAGAATAGACATACCCAAAAGGGATGCTCATACTTTAAATTCTGGTCCTAGTCAATTACCTCAGGGAACTGGAAACAACCGAGGAAGATTAGCAATGACTACATAGCAACATTTAAAGAGTGCACTTCGAAATTAACAGGTCTAAAAGCTGTATATTCCAGGATATGTTATAAAGGAACAAATTACATCTAATTGAACTGTTATTGCACATAAAAGCATTAAGAGTAATCACTAGAATGAGCTTAATCAATTCGTGAATGGATGGGACCGAATAGATGAATAATTAGACCAACTCGAGGAAATTACGGCCCAAATTTCTTGCATTAAATTATCCTCAAGCGAGACCCCCCCCCACTCCCACCCACCCACCACCACCACCCCCAACCCATCACTTTTACTCTATCGCTGAAAGAATCATAATTCTCTCTCTCCACTTGGGTAATTGTGTGTGTGTGTGTGTGTGTTGAACTTGGATGTGCAAATTTGCGTTAGTAATTTGCATTCACGAAGCGGTTTCTCCAAACCCAACCTAACCCAACCCATCTCAAACAAACAAATTTAGAAACTCTACGATCTTTCCCCTCCCCCCCCCTCACCCTCCGCTCTCTCTCTCTCTCTCTCTCCCTCTCTCTTGGTTTTTTGGAACCGCTCCCATCCAGACATATTTCACAAGCTAAATTTGTTCGAGGTTGTGTCTGGATTTTAGGCGCCCTGTGATGGTTGACCAGAATTACTTGGATTTCAAAATGAACTTGAAATTATAACCCCTTCATGTGGTAAATGTATGCGTAGAATAGGAGTCTCACCACCTAATTAACTACAGCACTTAATCAGGCAGTAAGGCAATGTTTTTTTTATTTTTCTTCAAAGTATTAGAGGAAGTTGGATCAAATCCGATAAGCAAATCTCAGTTGAAATATATATATATATTTCC